ATTTGTAGTTCATACAAATATTTTATACACACATACTTAAAAACTCACGTCTGCCACCCAGAGAGGTAGGCAGAGACTACGAACTTCCATTTGGCACGATCGTGACACACCTCTCTCGCCTCCTTTACATCGATATACCTACGTATACATGCTTATCGGTTAAGGGTACTCTTAATCTGCCCCATCTTCAATATATTGACAACTTTGTCGATAAACTTTCGTCTAGGGCGTCCCTTCCTGACTCTGACGTTCATTTTTTTCGTGCTAGATTTGAAGCCGTAGCTAAGCCACTGCGCCACAGAACCGTCAAATAAAGGAAACTAATAAATTCCAGATCTTATACTATTTTTTTTATAGGATAAGGTGACAAACGAGCACACAGTGCACCTGATGGTAAGTGGTTGCTGTGGCCCATAGACATCTACATTTATCCTCGTTTGCGAATCAAAATGCAGATGCGTTGTCACCCGTGAGGACTAAGACGGAATGCCTCTTTTCCAGTAAAAACGGTCTCCGGTTCTCTACACTCACCATACGAAACACAGCAGTATTAAGCCGCTATTTTACGCTGGTATTCTGTGAGAGCGTGGCCTTTCCCCGGACCAGCCGACCCATTCGTACTACAACTATACTACTAATATAGCTGCAGCATGGCTCTACCACGTTGAAAGTACTTATAATTGAAGCAACAATAGCCTAAAATTTTGTTTACTGACAGCTCTGTTTCTATTAATGCATTTAGTTCCACTACAATAAGCTTGTGATTTATTATATTATATACAGAAATATTACAAGAATGACCATAACTGACACATGTAAAAAATAACTAATTTTAAGAAACATCAAACATCTGGTATGTTGTTATCTTTCCATGTAAACGTTGGTAAGGGAAGGGCGAAATATGGCCTGTGCCTAGTTTCGTAACAATAAAAATAATCCTTTATCGTATATCTGTCACTATCCTTAAAATATTATCTGTAGATCGTTGCACGCCTATTGTATGCGCCGCGCCGCGTGCCAAACGATTATGTATGTTGAGATTTTGTCTTCAGATTACGTAAACGAATTTATATTGTTAAAAAAATAGACTACTAATGTATTTTTTGGTAGAAGTGGTAAACGAAGTTACAACGCATCTGTAAATGACAAATGCAGTCCATGGACGCCTACAACCAATTTCAAAGATAGAAAGCTACAGATACCTACAATAATCGTAATTTTCTCACTTTATAATAGTTTAGGAAAAACTGCTATCAGTTATCATCTTTGAACTCTACATCAAGCGAAATGTATGCTAATCTTTATATATAAAAATTACGTGTCACATTGTTTGTCCGCGATGAACTCCTAAACTACTAAGCTGATTGCAATGAAATTTTTCACACTGTGTGCAGTTTGGTCTAACTTGAGAGATAGGATAGTTTTTATCCCTATAAGTGACCCTCAATATTTTTTATTACGAATTTAAGGATTTTTTATATAAAGGGTCGTCGTAAAGGGCTGAACAAAGTCTACCTGGTCACCTATTATAATATAATAAGTAAAAATTGTTAAAAAAGTTTTTTTTTTATAGAATAAGGGTAACAAACGAGCACACAGTCCACCTGTTGGTAAGTGGATGCTGTGGCCCATAGACATCTACATCTATCCTCCATTAAGAATCAAAATGCAGAGCGTTGTCACCCGTGAGGACTAAGATGGAATGCCTCCTTTCCAGTAAAAGGGTCTCCGGTTCGCTAAACATACCATACGAAACACAGCAGCATTGAGCTGCTATTTTACGTTTATATTTTTTTTACTCAAGTCTTCATTCATTTGACCGTGTAGTGGCGGTGTAAGAATATCTACTACCCCATATTGTCCTGTGGCTGTCGTAAGAGGCTACAGACGGAAACGAGCCAGGATATAGGCATCAGTATCTTCCCGCCGGCCTGTGGCAGCTATGGCAACAGTTCTCTCCATGAGATAATCTATTCTCCTATCGAGGCTTATGTTCAGCAGTGGACTTTATATTAAAAGTCTACTGCTAAGGGTAACAGTAAGCATTTATTACCAGACTAGCTGTTCCCCGCGACTTCGCCCGCGTGTAATTTAGGGTTTTAACTATCTTGCGTGGAACCCTAATTCTTTTTCTAAAATATAAGTAGCCTAAGTCACTCCTTATGACATCAGCTATCTGCCAGGGAAAGTCCGGTCGAAATTGGTCCAGTCGTTTCGGAGATTAGCCGGAACAAACAGACAGACAGATAGACAGAAAGACAGACAAAATTTTTAAAAATGTCTTTTTTGTTATAAGTGCCGTATATACTTTCACATGCATTTAGTAAAAAGCTGTTATTTTGATATTACAAACAGACACGTCAATTTTATTTATTTGTATAGATTTATATTTAGATGAAGTTTCTCACAAAATTAGATCAAATCCTGGACTAATACATAAGGAAATATTCACGCATTTTTTTATAGAATAAGGGTGATAAACAAACACGCAGATCACCTGACGATAAGTGGGTAGGTACTGTAGCTCATAGACGTCTACATTTATCCTAAACTAGCTGTTCCCCTTCGACTTCGCCCGCGTGGAGTTATTTTTCGCGGAACCCTAAAATAAAAGCAGCCCAAATTACTCCTTATAACATCAGCTATCTGCCAGTGTATATAATTATTGACAAATATTGACATTAATATTTATACGATACTAACGTCACTCAATTGTTTTGCCTCCCCGGAACCCCTGCACTAACACTGAAACTTTATGGTATGGTATTAAAGTTGACAAATTGAGTTTTAAGTATTATTACGAATCTTTTGTTAGGGAATATAGAAAAGTGTTGTTATTAGACATTTTCAGGCAATTTTTTAAATTTTTCTCTCCGTAAGAACCACCTTCGTACTTTAAGGAATATTATAAAAAAAGAATTATCGAAATCGGTTCAGCTGCTCTCGAGATTTGCGCTTAGCAACACATTCAGCGATTCATTTTTATATTATAGATTAAGAATCAAAATGCAGATGCCTGTCACAAAGATGGAATGTCTCGTTTCCAGTGAAAAGAGTCTCCAGTACTCAACTCTCACCATAAGAAACACAGCAGCATAAACTGAGAGCGTGGTCATTTCCCGGTTAACTCATTCCTGCTAAGCATAATATAGCTGCAGCGTGGCTCTACCACGTAACGTAACACTAACACCCCGATAAATCTATCAGTATCACTTAATAAAAGTGGTCAGCAAACTCAAAGTAAACCCTCTCCACAGTCACTAGCTGTGGGACTGTAACTTCATCTTAGTCGGTAGTCGGTCGCCAGGGCGTCGTCGATCGATCATCGACCGAGGAAGTCGAGCTAACACATTCGTTCTACAGCCCTAATATAGTCGCAGCATGGCTTCACTACGTATGTATTTATTCCACGCGAGAGGAACCGCGGACAGAAGCTTGTTGAATTTATCTCCAAACGACTTGCTAATGGCGTCGATAATGTTTTAAATTGTCAAAATTTCGTCGTCAACAAAGTCGTTAGCTGGCAAACATCGTATTTGCGAAATCGGTAATCGATCTGTTTATTTGCTGACTTCATCTCAAATAAATTAAAAACGTAATATCTAAATTATAAACGTAACGGTTAAAACATTATGTAAATATATTCTGTAGAGTTTTGTCGGCCTTTTTGAATCAGCAGCAGAATTAAAATAAACAAACAATTTTTTAATGTATATAAAAACTGTATTTATAAAAAAAAGAGTTTTTATTCATATTAATAATAGCGGTATGTGGTAGCTAAGGGACTAAGTGCTCGTTGTAAAATATATAGTACGCGAGCAACTCGGATTCGAATTTAGCTTGTAAAAATGAAACAATTGAACTATTTTGTTCATGCAACGGTAATTTATAATAAGTTTGGTTTGTATTTTATCCTATGAAAAACTTTTATCTGATGATTCAGAAATCGGCGCATTTACATTGTTATATAACTTACGGAAACTTGTAATGCTTGTGTATCGTGTTAGTAGGTACTGAATAAATATATTTCTATCTTTCTTATCTCTCATATATATTTTATTAAAAAAAAAAACCTTACCCCCACAATTAATACCGTCACATCAAAATATCCATAACAGGAACAATTATTTGTAGACCATGAAAACACTTGTTTCGTGCGAAATTCAACCCCGCGGCGCCGTAGCTCAATATAGTCTTTACGCCACGGAACCGTCAGCATATTTATAACGTTATAAATAAAATTACAATTTAAAGTTTTATATTACACTGTGTATTTATAAAGTGGTACATACAAATATACTTTTCACACTTGATTGATACAATGGTTTCTTATATTTACGCGAACACTACACATAGAATTAAACAACTTTTAAACGAATTTTAGGGCGTTTAGAAAACTATTTTATATTCACAACATTTATTTATTTATTTACTTATTTAATCTTTATTTAACCTTACAAACTTTTTAAAATTAAAAGGACTTAATGCCAAAAGCATTAACTGCCAGTCAACCTTTGAGCAGTGATGTCACAACGAAGGCGGTTGCAGAAAACATAAAAAAAAACTATAAAAATTAAACATATACACACATCATTTCAAGTACTTTGTAGCATCTATGGCCACCCTCGTATCCAAGGGTGCACATAGTACCTAATAGAAATGTCGGGAATATAATATAAGTTAACTGAACGCGATAAAAATCCATAAAAAAAATCATTCGATTCTTCAACACTATTTACAATTAGTTACCTACATTTACAGTTATAGAAAATATTTCCCGTACATATTTATTATTTCTGTTTAACATAAATAATTTCTAATCATATGGCACGATAGTAGGTATATCAAAGAAAAACTTGCACGTATATATACAAAAGGTCCGTATTACCAACTATTATTTATTCTGTGGTTATGACACACAATTTCTTTAGCCTGAAATCTCTCCTTCTATTGTTTTTTCTATTGTTTATTTAAAACAATATGGCGCGTATATTATCATTTTAACATCTACACTGCTGCTGGCAACGAATACAGATCCTCTCCTCAAGCCGTGCTCTTAAATCTGCCAACTTCTTCTTCAGAAACGTAACTTGAAAAGCAAGCCGGACTTCTCTTAGTTTCCTCCTATCTCTACTCTGTTTCGCCGCGAAATTATTCCTCTCCCTCTGCTTTCTGTAAGAGTCGTCGGCTGCCTGATTCGTCTGCACAGCCCTTCGCATTCTCGGATTGTTACCCAAAAGGGTCCCTCCGTTCTTCTCCGCCATGGCTCTTAGTGCGTCCCTTTCGAAGGCCTGGTACTCGACGTCATCGGAAAGAGATTCAGCATCGTAAGCGTCTGGAGAATCCGGCGACGATAACGACTTGCAGTAAGACCTGGGTGACCATGTGCTTCCGACAGAGTCCGGAGATATCTGGGCAGATGGTACACAAGCAGCCTCATGATATCCAACATAGTACGGGTGTGGGTTAGGTAGTCTGTCGGGTGGAGACACTGCCTGTTGAGGGTATATATATCCAGGAACATTATTGTTGGTGTAAGTCAAGTTCACCGGTGCTGGAGACGCTCGTTCCTTCTTCAATGTGGCTCGACTTAAGTCTAAAGCCTCCTCCGAGTATGGGGTCCACAAGGACATGGTAACCTTAATCCTTGTACGCTACACAAAAAGCACGGTGCACTACTGAAAGCAACTATGCTCAGGCGGCACGGGGATGTTGTGGGCGGGGCTTGTGAGAAAGGGTGAGGGTAAAGGAAGGGTTGTAGAACCGCTACCTGCGGTTAATCCTAACGGAACCGGAACGTTCCCGGAAAACGTTTGCCTTGCTGTACTTTTTCATGGGGTGCATGACGTTTTGTTTTAGTGAAGAAAATCTATGTATAGAGAATAACAATGTATTTTTAAGAGCGCCTTGTTTTTTTTTTAAAGTAAGTTTGGGTTGACTAAAGAGCACCCAGTGCCACCTAATGGTGGATGCCCAAGTCATTTACATATTATATCCTCGATTAAGAATCAAAACACAGATGCGTTGTCATCCCCAAGGACTACGATGGAATGCCTTGTTTCTCGTTCTTCGTCTAGGTTCGTTTTCTTCAGCAATAAGTTGCTTTATTACGCGAGCAGACCCATTTCTGTTACAACCACAATATAGCTGTAGCGTGTTTACTGTCTAACCAAAAAGAAATTATAAAAAATCCTTTTTTTAATCAAATCATTTAGTTATATAAATAGTATGTTATAATAAAACTGTAACTGCTCTAAAATATTCGTTAACGGTGAATAGAATTATTAAATAAATACATACAAACAATTTAAAAAAAAATTTTTTTTTTTTGCTACTAGGTACTATTAGATAGTGCAGTCGATATTATATAGGGCTGCTCTATACGGGTAAGTTTATCGACCAAATGGGAAAAATACATTAAATCTGGACCAAATTAAGAGTACCTACTCTTAACCGAAGATCATGTTTGCGTTGATATATGAATGTGAAAGATGCGAGAGCTGTGTCAAGATCGTGCCACATGGATGTCCGTAATCGCCGATTTTGGCGTAACAGGCGTCATAGTTATGATTAGTAATATAATGGTAATGGTTCTTTTCAGGATAGAAGTTTTCACAAACCAGTGGTAAAAGTAAACGAATAGGTAAGTGAAAAGGCAAAAAGGCAAGGCTTGGCAAGCGGGTTGGCAACCGCAGAATTTTATTTTTATTTACTTATTATGAGGTCTGCCTCATAATCATGTACGTGGCCATGCTGCAGCTATATTATTGTTGTAGCACGAATGGGTCGGCTTGACCGGGCTGGGACCACGCTCTCACAGAATACCAGAGTAAAATAGCAGCTTAATGTTGCTGTGTTTCGTATGGTGAGCGTAGATAACGGGAGACCCTTTTTACTGGAAACGAGGCTCTGCATCTTAGTCCTCAGGGCTGACAACGCATCTGCATTTTGATTCTTAATCGAGGATAAATGTAGATGTCTATGGGCCACAGTATTTACTTACCATCAGGTGGAATATGTGCTCGTTTGTCACACTTATTCTATAAAAAAAATATCTGTTGTTCGTCTACTGGTTCAGTTTCCCTTTGTCGTCTCTTACTCTTCCCACGGGATGTTATGAGACAGTGGATATTCTTACAATGCCACGGTTAAGTTATTGTATATCTCAACTTAATTACTTTTATTATCCACTTTTTTTTTTGGGAAATCTTCCAATAAAATAAAGTGCATGTCTGTAATAGGTATATCCCGCGTAGAAAAATTTTTTCTACCGCCTTCAAAAAGAAGACGGTACTCTTTTCGACTGTTGGTTTTTTTTATGTGTGTTACCTCATAACTTTATTCTGGTTAACTAATTTCGATGATTCTTTTTTTTATTTGAAAGCTGATGCTTCTCGTGTAGTCCCATATAAATTTGATCAATGTTTGAACAATAGTTTTCGAGTAATTCTTAATAATTTATATTGAAGTCGGTTGTACCGGTTAATTTTAAATTATTATGGTTGTCAAATAGAACAAACTAAATAATGTCAAATTGCAGAATACCTAAGAGGAAATAGAAATAAAATGTTGAACTTAGTACAGAACTTAATTGTAATTTTTTTATATAGCTCCAACTATGATTTTCCTCGCTCAATATATTAAAATATCGACCAGTAACTCTTTGCGCCTAGTTTCCTTGGTCATAATGCATTTAACAATAGTTAGATTTTTAGTCATAAAATCACTCCAAATTAAAAAAAATTCATACCACCGTAGCTTTCATTATCATTAATCTTAACAGAGCGGGACAGTATTCATAACGGCACACCGCCTGCAATTTTACAAGGCGCAGATTCGACCTCACATGGAATACTGATCCCATGTCTGGGTTGGGGCTCCCCGGTGCCAGCTCCACCCGTTTGATAGCACCCAGTGCAAAGCGGTTCGAATGAAGAGATGTTACATCTCTTTGCGTATTATATCGCATCTACCACGGGGAGTGCTCTGAGGAATTGTTCGGACTAATACCAGCCACTCAATTTCACCATCCATAAAATCTGGATGATTGGCGGTCCACCACTGCGCGATTTACAAGAGGTTTTCTTCCATGCACAATTTTCTTGTGGAATCGACTACCACCAGCGATTTTTCCGGACCGATACGACTTAGGGACCTTCAAGAAAAGAACCTACTCCTTTTTAAAAGGCCGGTAAAGCGTCTACAATTCCCCTGGTGTTGCAGTTGTTCATGGCCGACTGTAGTCACTTACCATCGAGTGAGCCGCATGCTCGTTTGCCCCCTCTCCTATATAAAAAAATACTTAATACGCAGTCGAGTATTTTTTTATTTTTTATTAGTAAGCTTGTTGTCATAATATCTTCTTTTCCAAGAAGCTGAACTCATACAAACCGCTTGCGCCTATTATCTATGTATAGGATTAAAGAAAATACCGTTTAATCTGTCCTAAATTATTCATCGGGCAGAGAACAAAAAGGCGCTCAATTTTATGACAAAGTCAATACAATTTTATTTAGGTACTTTTCCCGCCCATAAATATCGTACATCCCATGCCTAATTGCTTAAGTGTAAAGAGATTAAAGATAGATGTTTTAATCCTCGGTAAAAATTTATTTATGAAATAAAATACAACATAATCAAATTAAAAATTACAGTTGTATCAACAAAATAGTTCAATTGTTTCACTTTTATATTCGATCATGTTATAATTTATTCGACGGATAAACTTTTATCTGACGAGAGTGACAACCGAGCACACATTATATTCTATCTCGGTGTCTCACCCCCGTGCCTCGGAAACCACGTAAAACCGTTGCTGCTGCACCTGATCTCTCTCCGGTCGTGTCGGTTTACCGTCCCATCGGGCTATGAGAGTTAGGGAATGGAGAGTGCACCTGTGCTTGCGCATACACTTGGGCACTATAATCCTGTCCTGCGCCGATGGCTAGTCCGTTGAGGCTGGCCGCCGTGACCGGAATTCAGTCTGGAGGACATTATTATTATTATATTCTATCTATCCTTGATTACGAATCGAAATGCATATGCGGTGTTACCCATGAGGACTAAGATGAAATGCCTCGTTTCCAGTAAAAAGAGTAAATTGGTAATTATGCAAATCTTATAATATAAAAATGAATCGCTGAATGTGTTGCTAAGCGCAAATCTCGAGAGCAGCTGAACCGATTTCGCTTGTCAACACTCGTCATACGAAACACAGCAGCGTTGAGCTGCTATTTTACGCTGGTGTTCTGTGAGAGCCTTGTCCTTCCCCGGTCGCGTCGACCCATTCGTGCTACAACTATACCAGTAATATAGCTGCAGCATGGCTCTACCACGTGTAAAATTATTTATTTAATGTTTATTTAATGATATGAATAACCAGCTAGAATTCCAGCTGGACTTCTTAAATTTGTCTTCGTAATGAAGTGTTACCATCGTCACTCCATCTAGAGGGGGCCGCACACTTCGCTTCCCGATACGAGGCTTCCACTCGTCAACCATTTTAGCACTTCAGTTGTCGGTTCTTACTGATTCGTTGGGCTATGTCGGTTGCCTTACGAAACTCCGACTATACCCTTCTTCATAGCTACTTAATAACTATGTAGAAGGATACATCTTCATAATTATCTTCATTACAGCCCATCAAAGTCCACAATTGAACATACCTCCCCCCCGCCCCACTCACAGATTGCCTCATAGGAGGGATATTTGCCATAGTTACCACGCTTGGCTGGCGGATTTTTATTATTTCACAATATTTATTATTTCAGAAATCAGGAAGATGCTGCTGCCCATTTGCTCACGTCATAGTCCTCACGGGTGACAACGCATCTGCATTTTGATTTGTAATCGAGGATAGATGTAGATGTCTATGGGCCGCAGCAACAACTTACTATCAGGCGGACTGTGTGCTCGTTTGTCACCCTTTTCCTATAAAAAAAAATATTCATGAATTAATTACTGAATCTAAGAAATTTCCTTTCCCGTGAGAAATTATTGACAAAAAAAAACATCGGAATCGATATCCATTCAACCCGCCAATAGAGAGATTATGTTATGTCCAACTCCGTCACAAAACACTTGATCTGTTACATCAATGGCCATTCTGGTATTATACCCTTTAATGTGTCCAGGACAATAAATCAGACCACCGTGGTAAATGGTTCTTTTGCGCGTTGACAAGATGGCTGCCGGAAGCGCGGACACAATAAGGAATAGAATCATACAGTGACAGTTGCTTCCTATGACGCTTGAGTTGATTTTATGAAAGTTTGGACCTTCAATACTATTAACTACGGTCAGTTGCATATTTGTTGCAAACGTACCCAAAAAAAAAAACAGATTATCGATTTAATTTAAATTAATGATATTTCAAATTATTATTAAGTTAATCAAATTTTACTGATTTCATTGCGTTTAATTTAACTTATTTTAATTCCAGACGTTTCGTGTGCTTTACTGCACCCATGGTCACGAAGAAGATAGAGGTGTTTGATATCCCAATATCATACTTTTAGCTTTTGAATACTAATTTTTAGCTTAAAGTATCTTCAAGTCTTGCAGTAGTATTTTTGGGTTTAGATTTAATTTAAATAATTATAGAATCCCAAGGCGATGACATCATCCATTCATC